GTTAAATGTTTGGGGGCGGGCTTTTTTTTGGGGGGGGGGGGGATTTATAATATAAAAATATATATTTAAAATAAATTACATTCTTTTGAGCTTTCTATTCATCAAATAATCTTGAAAAAAAAAACAGTTTTCATAAAAACCTTACGCAACGCAACTTTTCAATATTGAGAAATGTTTCTGAAATGACCAAATCAGCCTATTAGAATGATGCTGAAAATTCAGCTTTGCCATCAGAGGAATAAATTACATTTTTAAATATTAAAATAGATACTAAAATTGGCAACTTTCATCAGCAATCATTAGCCAAAATGCAATACTCATTGGTGTCATAACATACAATCTGACCAGTGCCAACAACTATAAAAGACAAGAAAAATCACCCACAGCCAGCTTTTCACTTGATTATTCCTTGGAAACTCTGAAACATAGTTACTTCTGAGTACAAGGAGTCATGTAGCTTTATGAAGTCTGTAGAGAGCTTGAGCGTGTGTGTGGTGTCCTCATTTAGAGCAGGACGCTCTCATCACTGTGTCCCTCAAGACACTAGTGTATTTGGGACAGAAGGCAACATCTCATGCTACAAAGTGAACATCTGGTCTCAATTATGCATGTGTGTGTGTCAACATGAATGATAACGCTTGAGGCACTGGTTCAGTGGGTGGGTTGAAATAGTTGGACACACCCAGTGCATTTGAGGCTTGGACTGACTGATGGAGATTTGGACCAATCACAGAAGCGCTGCTGAAGGGCATATTACCCAGAATCCACAGGGATGGTCCCCCTCTGAGGCTTTTCATGAGTGTGTTTTGCAACCCACAATCTTGGATGTGGGAAATAAGATACTGAAATGTGTGTGTGACCCTTCTACATTTCTTCAAAACGATTGCTAATGTCTGTCAGAAAATGAGTGGTGATGGCTGTTTTGTATATAATTTTTTAAGAAGAACAGTCTGGATTATCTCAAACTTGATAGGTCTGGAATCATATTCGTGGGAACGGACATTTACGCAACTATTTGAGTGTGTTTGTACAATACACATGTTTAAAACTTTGCATTGTTAGAATTATATGACCGGCTTTCAGTGTTTCACAGCGGATCAGAGCTTCAGCTCTGATTGTTCAGAAAACGCACACACACACACACACACACAAAAACGCCCCACAGAAACCTATTTATCTATGACACAGATTCCCATGAGACAGATCTGCTCTTTGCACGTTTGAGGCTTAAACACTAAATCTGCTCAATCTTTCTTTCTCTCTCTCTCTCTCTCTCACACACACACACACACACACACAATTTACAAATCTAAACAGGGACATATTGCAGACTTCTATTGTTTTTAAACTCAAAAGCCACACCCTAACAAAAAATGTGCCCTTAAAAGAATAAAAAAAAATACACATTATTTACTATATTTAAATACAAATAAGGACACCTGCTACTGAAGATTTTGATTTCAAATAAAATGCTATTCTTTTGAACATTCTATTCAGAAAAATGTATGAAAAAATCTAAACAGGGACATATTGCAGACTTCTATTGTTTTTAAACTCAAAAGCCACACCCTAACAAAAAATGTGCCCTTAAAAGAATAAAAAAATACACATTATTTACTATATTTAAATACAAATAAGGACACCTGCTACTGAAGATTTTGATTTCAAATAAAATGCTATTCTTTTGAACATTCTATTCAGAAAAATGTATGAAAAAATTACCAGGGTTTCCACAAAAATATTAAAGGATTAGTTCTCTTCCAGAATAAAAAATTCCTGAAAATTAATTCACCCCCATGTCATCCAAGATGTTCATGTCTTTCTTTCTTCAGTCGAAAAGAAATTAATGTTTTTGAGGAAAACATTCCAGGATTTTTCTCCATACAGTGGACTTCAAAGGTGCCCAATGGGTTGAAGGTCCAAATTGCAGTTTCAATGCAGCTTCAAGGGGCTCTACTCGATCCAAGCCGGAAAATAAGGGTCTTATCTGGCGAAGCGATCGTCATTTTCAAAACATAAATAAATAAATAAAAATCTATATACTTTAACCACAAATGCTCGTCTTGCACTAGCTTGACCTCACGCATTACATAGTCACATTGGAAAGGTCACGCATGACGCAAGCGGAAGTACTGACCCAGTGTTTACAAAGCGAACGTGCAAGGAAAGTCAAACGCTCTTTACAAAAAAGGTAAAACAACGATGTCAGGCGATTTTGCAGTTGGTGGAGAAAACGAGATGGAGTTTTTCGCCCTACCCTACCTTTTTGAAGCGAAGTGCACAGACGAAGAACTAACTACTCGTGAATTTGATTACAAAATGCGTGAAGACGTGCATGCACATTCCAGAGCTAGTGCTCTAGTACTCTAATGGAGGCCAATGGGTTGAACACAAACACAAATGCTCGTCTTTATTTGTGGTTAAAAAGTATAAAAACATTTTTTTAAAGAAAACTACCGATCGTTTCGCTAGATAAGACCCTTATTCCTTGGCTGGGATCATTTAGAGTCCTTTGAAACGCCAGTTTGGACCTTCAACCCATTGGTTCCCATTTAAGTCCACCATACGGACAAAAATCCTGGAATGTTTTCCTCAATACCCTTTATTTCTTTTCAACTAAAGAAAGAAAGACATGAACATCTTGGATGACATGGGGGTGAGTACATTTTCAGGAAATGTTTAATCTGGAAGAGAAATAATCCATTAAGCAGCACAACTGTTTTCAATATTAGGAAGTCATGGAGAGTTGGACTCGTAACCCAAAGGTTGCGGGTTCGAGTCTTGTACCGGCAGGGATTGTAAGTGGGGGGAGTGAATGTACAGCGCTCTCTCCCACCTTCAATACCACGACTGAGGTGCCCTTGAGCAAGGCACCAAACCCCCAACTGCTCCCCGGGCGCCGCAGCATAAATGGCTGCCCACTGCTCCGGGTGTGTGTTCACGGTTTGTGTGTGTTCACTGCTGTGTGTGTGCACTTTGGATGGGTTAAATGCAGAGCACTAATTCCAAGTATGGGTCACCATACTTGGCCACATGTCACTTACAAAAAAAACTATATTAATAAGAATGTTTCTGAAGGATCATGTGACACTGAAGACTGGAGTAAACATTTTTAGCTATTAAACAGCTATTTTAAACCGTAATATTTCCCAATATTACTGTTTTACTGTATTTTTAATCAAATATATCTTGGTGAGCAAAAAAATAAATAAAAATACATATGCATACACTTACATATTGAAATAGGTGTCTTGGCAAACACATTTTAATTGGTCACAAGAAATAGGTTAGTTCATCCAACAAGAAATCATTTCATATGTACACACTTACACAAGTACATGATTTTCCCCACTACAGAAACAAAAGGGCAGCGCAGTGAAGAAAAACAGACTGGAAAACAATGGAGATGAAGGTGAAAGATATATGAAGACGTGAAGAATGTCTTTAGCTGGAGTGTATCCATGCGTGTGTTTCTTGCTACTTCAAATAATCCAAACCTCAACGAACTTTAGCATTACAAATAACACTGCATTGCTGTTCTTCTTAAGGATGAGTAATTCTTTCCTGGTTACCTAAACAAACATGACATCTCAAGTATTATTGGAAATACACACACAAACACAGTAGCATTACAGCCAAACCCGCAACAGCGGCGCTGAGAAATCCCTCCATGTGTTTCACAATGACTCTAAAAACAAGAACTCACTGACCCAACATCACAAATCACATCTTCACACACACTGGAGGTCAACAGAGGTTTGTATGCGCCAAGTGTGCTGACAGGAAGTTCCCAGGAGAACATTTGTATACTTCCTGTGAGTTATATTATTCATTTCCTCTCTTTAAAGGGTTATGATCTTTGAGCTTCACAATCTGCTGAACCCATCTCTCTCTGAAACAAACACACACACTCTGCCCTATAGCCTGGTTTACACATAACTGACCGTATGAGTCTGAACCCGACCAAAGGAAAGGAGAACACAGTTTATCTTTTGCTGGACAGTTACAGCTGTAGAATCTGATTGGATGAACAATTTTCAAAGCCGTTGTAAAACAGCCAGCACACACATACACAGAAGTGTCATGTGCCCCTTCAGATTCAGGTTAATGCATTTGGTATCAAGAAGCGGTGGGTAGCACATATATATTTCAACCAAATTTTGGAGTGTTTCTGTGGTAATTTTTGCCCGTTCCTCCAGTAGAGCATTTGTGAGGTCAGGCAGTCATGTTGAAGAAGGCCTGGCTCACAA